ACCGTTTTTTAATTTAAAAAAATAATTTTATTAACTTACAAGTTTCAAAGTTTTCTCTTTTTAGAAAAAAAAAATATCAATTTAGCAATACAAATTAAAAAATTAATTTCATTAACTTTAAAGTTTTTACTTTTTAGGAAAAATATCAATTTAGCAATACAAATTACAATCAACTAAATGAAATAATCATATAAATTAAATTAAGTTCATCATTGTTGGCCGATAGTTTTATAAGTCCACAACATACGTCTTTACTCATTATCTAATCTAAACTAAAATTAATCACAAATCACATGAAAAAAAAAAAAATTTATTTTCAACAATCCAAATCATAATTCAACAAAACTAGAACAGCAAATCACACTCACAACTTCAGAAGCCCTGACCTAAACTTTCATTTCTCAAATATTTGATGCTTGTCTGCCATCGCTGAACAAAAATGAGATCACCAATCGCAAATAGCTAGTTATGTTTTGTTTGTTAGTCTGCTAATTTTTACCCGAATCACAAATTTCTATCTTCTCTCTTGATAAGTCTTAAATTCTCATCAAGTGATTTTTTCATTGTTCTTTCTTTTATTTATTGTTTTTGAACTTACTATACACTTGTGAGTTGTGATTTAGATTTAAAAAAAAAAAAATTACTGTTCGTGTGCCTATGTGATTAATGAAATTATTTGTGGTTTGGAAAGATCGAAAGATAGAGCATATTGATTCCCTGAAAATGTTAAAGTTCTCTAACTAATACTACTATATTCTACTTTCTTAAAATCGTTAGAGAATAAAATTTGTTAATTTCCAATAAACTTGAACTCTATCATTCTTTGCATATTTCAACATATCATATTCAGTCTTTATTTTTCATCTCACTTGTAGGACGAAGGGAGTTTTAACCAAACCATTACAGCAGAATGTGGCTCAATCTTTACCTATCGTTATATGACGATATAAAAGAAGGCAAACAAAAAAGGTCAAGAAAAATGAAGAAATATATATTCGTT